ATTTCCAAGCAGAGGGGGAAGCAGAGAGTGTGGGAGTTGATGGGAGGAGGGTGGTCTCAAAGAGCCTCCTTCAGGGAGTGGAGAAGAGGTGGGGGAGTACCCAAAGAAGAAATGCCAGTAAATATAATTATTCACATGCAGATCATCCTTCTCACGTTCTGAGCCCATTATTAATGCATACCTCCAAGCTCTACCCGCATGCCCACCACAGCACAGAAGGTACCCAGGGAGGGGTAACCAATGCTAGATCTAAGCCTGTGCCCGGCCAACGCATTAGCCACTACCCTCATGTACGTGTGACTACGAGCATTAAAATATGGCTGGTCTGCACAGAGATGATCTGTAAGTGTAAAATGCACATGAAGTTTGAACACTGAGTATGGGGGAAAAAAATGCAAAATATCTCATTAATCATTTTATGTTGACTATGTTGAAATATTTTGAATATACTGAGTTAAATAAGCTATTAAAATTAATTTCACTTATTTTGTTTTACTTTCAATGTGGCTACTAGAACATTAAAAATTACATATGCAGCACTCATTTCCGGCTCACGGTATAGCTTCATTGGACAGAGCCGGAGCAATATCGAACAGTGTTGGTCCAAACAATGTACCAGCACATGCCTTTTAAATTTCACTAAAAAGAAGGGAGCAAATACAAGTGGCTTCCAGATTAGTACCTATTTTACATTTACTGTGATACAGTTTCATTTTATTAAGCTGGAGAAGAGTTGTAAGATTTGTCATTTTAAAGGGGTTGAGGTTTCAAAATGCATCCTAGAGCTATTGCTAAAAATCCATTATTCATTCTCTAGTTGCTGCCACCAGCAGGGTGACTCGTAGACCCCACCAGGTTAAGATGACAGACACAAACCAAGCCTAGGTCACGTCAGGCATGTGCTTTGGTGTGTTGTTAAAGTCTGTCCCTGTTCGTTCAGTCCAGTGGTTCTCGAAGTACATGGTACATCAGAATCACTGGGGAGGTTTGCATTCAAACTCAGCATTCTCATGCAATGTCCAAGAATCTGCATTTTTAAAATCAGCCTAAGTATGTTCTAATGCCTGAACACACTTCTAAAGCCTGCAAAACACTTTAAAACCAGTGTTTCCATTGGGTGTGGTGGCTCACATCTCTAATCCTAGCACTTTGGGAGGCCAAGGTAGGTGGATGGCTTGACCCCAAGAGTTTTAGACCAGCCTGGGCAACACAGCGAAACCCTATCTACAAAAAATACAAAAATTAGCTAGGCATGATGGCGGGCACCTGTAGTCCCAGCTACTCGGAAGGCTGAGGTGGAAGGATCACTTGAGCCAGGAAAGTTGAGGCTGCAGTGAGCCGTGATTGCACCAGTGTACTCTAGCCTGGGTGATAGAGGTGAGACCCTCTCTCAAAATAAACAAACCAATGTTCCCAGCCTTTTTCACCAGAATAATTGCCTCAGATATTTGCCAAATATGCAAAATTGTTCTCAGACAATGCAGAAATGCAGACTCAGACTCGAAAACTCCAGGAGTGGGACTTGGAAATTTTGGGAGATGATGTCACAAACCAGCAGTCCTTAACCCTGGCCATGCATTAGATTCCCTGGGGGCTTTATAGTCCTGATGCCCAAGCCATATCCAAGTCCAATCACATCAGACTTTCACTAGGTGGGATTTAGACATCTGTGTTCTTTGAAGTTCTCCCAGTGGTTTCAATTTACAGGCAAGGTTGAGAAGCACAAGTTGGTCAGTAGCAAATTAACCCACCTCCCTTCTACTTTTACGAAGTTAACTATGTCATTTGCTTCTACTTAGTACCCCCAAGCGCCCAGAATAAAACGTCTAAGTACAAAGGCCATAATATGTTATGTCCTAAACTGTTACTACCTTTTTCTAATCCGAGAAAGTTTTCTTCCAGATTATGTCCACCGCTCCTGCAGGCTGGCTGTTGACTTTCTGTACAGCTGTTAGTTCCAGCACAGGTGTTAAATATTTCATTAACAATTTCTGCTGCAACTCTGAGTACCCCCTCCCCAAACAACTCCTCAACTCACTGCGGAAGCCACAAGCCCCTGCAGCTGCTCTCAGAACGCTTTTGATGGCACCACATTTTTTTTTTCTGAAGGGAGCAACACCTGCTGCAGTTGCTTCCCACCTGGGCAGCTTTCCTTCCTCTGAAAGGGTAACTACCTGATCGATGAGGTGTTTTTAAAGGGGCCATGACCTTATTCTGTCTGCATAATTTGGAGAGATACATTTAAAGTGGAGATTTAAAAACAAATATATATTGGTCTTCACAACTGAAATTCTTTCCAATTTGCCCCCACTGGATCCTATACAAACTTTACAGTAATTGTCATACTGAATTATAATTAGTGTATGCACGTGTCAGAAATCAGAACATGATACCCCAAAATATGGCGTCTTGGCAATTGAAAAAAAACCTCAGAAGCAAGAAGCCCACTTTCTCCCGACCTTCTCCCCTGAAGCATGATCATAAAGGAATTCTCTGACCTACCACCCCTAAAAGTAGGTCATAAGAACCTGATTCTAGAGGATTCCAGACCCTACAACCAGAGACCAAGAAGAATCTGAACAAACAGGGCCTTGCTAAGTTCCCTCAGTTTATTACCTTTAGGTCATACCCCTTTTAGTCCAGTTACAATTCTACACGACTGCCCATTCTCCATCGAACTCCAGCATAAAAATACAGTTTTCCCTGGAAGTCTTTGGGTCTTCATTTATGAAGCCTCCCAGGTCATGTAAAACTTTGGTTAAATAAATTTGTTACACTTTTCTCTTCTTGTTAATCTCTCCTTTGTTATAGGAGTGTCAGCCATAAAATTTTTGACAAGGGAGGAAAAGCTATTCCTTCTCCCCCACGCATGAATCTCTGCCATTCAGTTTACACTTCCTGAGGTCAATGTGTCCTACTCAACTCTGTTTCCAAAGTCTCTAATAGGATGCCTGGCACACAGAGAATTCTTTGTAAATGTTGAAATCAACTAAATATGTAAGTGAGGTGCTATACTTTGGGTTTCTGACCTTATCTCCATCCAGAATCCTGGGTCACCAGTAAGCAAAAGTGGCCATAGGGCACAGTTCTGGCCAGTGAGATGTAGCAGAAATCCTCTGGGTAGGGCTTCCAAGAGTTTTTGTTTTCCTGACAAAAAAAGGGACAGATTGGGCCTACCTTCTCTACCCTGTATCCCTCCCAGCTTGCTTCTTTCTCCTCCCTGCATGGAACTCAGAAGTAAATCCTGGAGGTGCAGCAGCCATCTCGCAATCATGAGGTGAGAAAAAGAGGACAGTGCCAACAAACATGCTCTGGTTAGAAAAACAGAAGCGTAGGAAGAGCCCAGGCTCCTGAGGGTAGCAGCTGCATCAGTACTGAACTGCCTGCCTGCATCTAGACTTATTAGAGAAGAAAAAAAGTTCCCATGTACACTTCCATGGTTAAGTTTTGTTATTTGCAGACAAACACATTCCTAACTAGTATGAGAAGGATGTTAAGAAGTATGCATTTCAAACACCTAGGATTGCTCTTAACACATAGACACCCATTAAATATTTGCATATTCATTTATTCATACAAATATTAACACGAATGAATTCTGAATGAATGAGTTAATGAATGAATGGGTGATTTTTTTTTTTTTTACACAAGATCATCTTCTAATAAAAACAGACTATTCTCTTAAGTTGTATTCAACAATTTTATAACAGCTTTGTTTCAGAGTGTGTAGACTATATATATTGGTCCTAGCATTCCCGAGGCTCATTTCTTCCTGTTAGAAAAAGTAGTCCAATTGAAGCTGCAAATCATGCAACAAACAGTAGAAACAGCCTCCTGGTGTTACCAATTCCCCGAGTGTCATATTTCAAGTATTCTGTGTAAGGCAGGGTGGGCAGAAGGGTTTCCTGCTCCAAGATTAGTCGGGTGGGATTCGCCTTTTTTTTTTTTCCTCTCCAACCTGGGCTGCTCAGCTGCAATGTGTGCACAGGGCACGTTAGTGGGCAGAGCCAGGAGCTGAGGCGTCCACTCCCAGGGACCAACTAAGAGGCTTCACCTGAGGATTGGTGGTTACAGTTGCCCCACTAGTAGCTACATTAAGAAAGCTGATTAAGAAGGGAGAGAAGAGACATCCGCTGTCTCAGATTGAACCATGAGGCAATTCCCAGGACCCAATCTCCTGCTCTACAACCTAGAATTCTGTGGACTCTTTAATTTTTTTTTTTTTTTTTTTTTGAGACAGGGTCTTGCTCTATTGCCCAGGCTGGAGTGCAGTGGTGTGATCATGGCTCATTGCAGTCTCAAATTCCTAGGCTCAAGTGAACCTCCCACCTCAGCCTCCCGAGTAGCTGGAATTACAGGCACGCACCACCATGCCCAGCTAATTTTTTTATTTTTTGTAGAGATGAGGTCTCACTATGTTGCCCAGGCTAGTATCAAACTCCTGGGTTCAACCCATCCTCCTATCTTGGGATTACAGGCACGAGCTGCCGCATCTGGCCTCTTTTCATTTTTCAGACTTGGCTCTAAGCAGCTTGGCTTCCTATCTTGAGAAAGGTATGTAAATGCTTGGATTTGGGGTATACATTTTATGATTTTAAAATAGAGCTGGTTTTTATCAGCTTCGATTTTTAAAATAATGAGCAGTTTTGATATGCCAGGCACTGCGCTAAGTGGTTTTACATGCATTGTCTATGTAATACTCACAGCTTCTCTACTGCGATAGGTGCTGGTACTCTTCTTGGTTTACAGATGAAGAAACTGAAGCTTAGAGAGGTAACAAATTGGCCTAGATCACACACAGCCACAAATCCACTCTAGAGTGTCTGGCCCCAAAGCCCCTTTATTCATTCCAACTATCCCGCATACACTGCGTTTGGAAGTGGACAGGACATTCCCCCGATTGCCACGCCCAAACCCACCCCACCAAGACTCAGGACAGCAGGCTCCTGTGTGTAACCTAACGCGGACAAACACCACCTCTTCCATATAAGGACACTTACACTGAGGGGAATTTTTCGGCTTGTGTCTTCTGGATCAAAGGCCTCAACCTGGTAAATGAATCCAGGGTTTGCTCCTTCTACTATGTAGAGGTGTAGACTTATACTAGTGTCCAAAGTGGAATCAGAAACATCTTATTAAAGCAAAAATGGGGAATTCCAAAATCAGGGCAGCTGTACACAACCAAGGGAATCAAGCGCGTTGGCATCGTGGGGCCAAGAACGCAATAAAAAAAATCCATGAGCAAGACCACTGGCCAACTGTCCTGCGTGGATCCATTTAGGGGAATTCATAAAGTGCTAGGGTTGGCCAAGCGGGTACCGAGTCTTCATTCATGTCCTCTGTTGAGAGGAGCTCCAGGGTGACGCTGTTTGAGTTGGGGGAAGGAGGAGGGGATGAGGCAGAGAGCTGGGAGGTGAACCCAGGTAGGAACCTCCGGTGTGAGGCTCCCCATGTGCTGAATCCACTTTAATGTGCAAATCCCTCCTCAACTGTGCTAAGTTACCCCGTGAAGGACACTTGGCAGCTCTGCAGAAATAAGCCGCTGAAATGAGGGACCTTACAGCGGAACAGAGATAGACAGAATAAGTAGGGAAGGGCTACAGAGGCTCAAGGGAGGAACCAAAAATTGATTTCATCTGTTTCGGAGTTTTTCACGGTGATCGGGGAGAAGGGAGGAGCAGGCGGTACCAGTACTGACCGAGGGGCCACAGAGCTCTCATTCGGGCATTTTTTTTTTCTGAGTGATGACGGACAATATGAAAAGTAACTTGGCCGGGCGCGGTGGCTCACGCCTATAATCCCAGCACTTTGGGAGGCCGAGGTGGGCAGATCATGAGATCAGGAGATCAAGACCATCTTGGCTAACACGGTGAAACCCCATCTCTACTAAAAATACAAAAAACTAGCCGGGCGAGGTGGTGGGCACCTGTAGTCCCAGCTACTCGGGAGGCTGAGGCAGGAGAATGGCGTGAACCCAGGAGGCGGAGCTTGCAGTGAGCCGAGATCCGGCCACTGCACTCCAGCCTGGGCGACAGAGCGAGACTCCGTCTCAAAAAAAAAAAAAAAGAAAAGAAAAGTAACTCACTCTTTTGGGGGCACCATGCTGAGGACTTAACATACATTTTCTATTTTCATCTTCATAACAGTTCTGTTAATATAAAGCAGCTATTGTATTTATTCTTTTAGTGTAATTAGTGCTTTTCAAATGAGAACACTGAGACTCCGGAAAGCTATGAAGTTGTCCTAGCTAGGACATGATAGAATCAAAATTCAAATCTAGATGCCTTACATCTGAGCTTGAGCTTTCACTTACTTTTTGTCAGTCTCATACTTCATTTAAAAAAACAACAACAACAAAAATCTACTGAGGGCTATGTCCAGACACTGATCTACACACTGGGAATACAGCAGCTCACAAAACAGACAGAACCTTACTCTCATGCAACTTCCGTTTCCATGGGAAGATATGGATAGCAAAATAATTGAGTAAAATCTGTGTATATTAGTGAGAAACATTATGAGAAATATCAGGGAAGGAAGTGTGACTTGGGTTACAATTTTAATAAAGTGGCTATGGAAGGTTCACTGTGGTGGGGAAGGGCATGACACTTGTCAAGATATTTTTTCTTTTTTTTTTTTGAGGTAGGGTCTTGCTTTGCCACCCAGGTTGGAGTGCAGTGGCACAAACACAGCTCACTGCAGCCTCGACCTCCCGGGTTCAAGTGATCCTCCCACCTCAGCCTCCTGAGTAGCTGGAACTACAGGTACCTGGCACCACACCTGGCTAATACTGGTATTTTTTGTAGAGAGAGGGTTTTGCCCTGTTGCCCAGGCTGGTCTTGAACTCCTGACCTTAAGCAATACTACCACCTTGGCCTCCCAAAGTGCTGTGATTACAGGTATGAGCCACTGCACCCGGCCTTAAAGAAATGAGGAAGAGCTAGGTGATAGGAGGGGAGGCAGAGGAATCAGCAAAGGTAAAATGCTGAGGTAGGGTCATGTCTGAGGCATTCGCAGGTCAGTAAGGGGGCCAGAGACTGGGTCACAGGGACTGAGGGGGAGAAGGGGAAAGGAGGAGGGGTGGGAGGGTAAGGAATGTAGGCAGCTTGCCAGATTTAATGGGTTCTTAAGAAAACTCCCTTTGAGTGAGACGAGAATTTCTTGTAGGGTTTTAAGCAGAGTGCCTTGATTTAACTGATGTTTTAATAGGATCCCCCTGGCTGCTGTATGGAAAACAGATGGCAGGGGGGCTGGGAGGCCAGCTGCCAGCCATTGCAACAATCCAGGTGAGATGGGATGAGTGGCTTGGACCATGGTGGTAGTGATGCAGACACTACGGCGGGGTCAGGTTCTGGGTATATTTAGAAGCTGGCAAGATTTCCTAATGGATTTCATGTCAAGTGTGAAAGAGAGAGGAGTCAAGGATGACTCAAGGCTTGGTCCAAGCAACAGGAAGGATGGAGTTACTGCTAACCAAATGGGAAAGATACAGGAGAAGCAGATTTGGGTTGGGGGGCAGGGTGGAAGGTGGAGAGGAAGCCAGGAGTTTGGTTCAGAAGCACATTAAGTTTGTGCTGTCTGTTAAACATCCGTGGAGATGCTGGGTGAGAAAGGTGGATATTTGTGTTATGACTGCCACAGTTCAGGGCAGAACCTGGACTGAAATGACAGACTTGAAAGTTGTCAGAATAGAGATGGTGCTCAAAGCCATGAGCTTGGGGGAGATCCTGTAAGACGTTAGTTACTGTGTGCTTTGGTCCCTTACATTGTCCCTATTGTAGCAGACACACACTGCCCTCAAGGAGTGAGAGTCCATGGGGAGAATGAACAAGCCAGTCAGTGACTGGGGTGCACAGGGATGAACCTAGGGGCAGCTTAGCCAGGTTCCTCCACAATGATCCACTCGCGGTCTCTCTCCGAGCTTCAGTTTCCTGCCCAGAACTGGGAGGGGACCAGGAGAAACCCTGCCTGTGAAGGGCTTTGCGTTATGATTGGGAGTGTTGAGCTGGAGGACATTTCATTTATTCCCTGCTCATTAAGCAGCTGCCTTTTCCAGGGAAACAGCTGTTTGTTTATTTACTTTTTCTGTTTCTCTCTGTCCCCCAGGGCCCTCCCTGATGCCACCGGCTGGGCTGCAGTGCACATCCTGGTGTATCCTACCTTCCGCCAAGTTGCCTTGAAACTGGGGTGGCTCGTTCACATCTGTTACCTGGACGGTCAGGACTTGCAGGTCTGTGACACCAACCTCATCCTTCACATAAATCTGCAAATCAAATATGTTTGGTCCTGTTTCAAAATCTAGCTGTTCCTTCCAAGTGGTGACAACCTAAAACGAAGTGCAAAATTCTTAGTAACCATGTGAAAGAAGATCTGTTTTGCATGCATGCACTTTGCAAAGGAATATTCCTAGGAAGGAAGCATCTGGCGTCCCGGAAACCAGCATTCTTTCACTGTCAGAGGAACCAGTTGTTTTGCCTTAGTCCTTCCAACATAAGCTCTATGATACTTCACTAAAGGGACTCCTGCATGTGATGCTGCGTTTCCTAGGAAAGAAAAATAGGAGACATTCTGATGCAATGGACTGGAGATGGAAAGCCTGATAATTAAAAAACAGAAAGCCCTCCACTACTTGGGGGTAGGCTCCTAGAAAAATCCTTTAACTACCCTGAATATAGTTGGATTTCGTCATTGTTAAGAAAGAATACTGAGCTTTCCTGGGATTGCCGTTAAGTGATATCTTGACTCATCACTTCATTCTAATTTTCCCAGAGCCACATCCAAAAATAAACAAGAGATGAAAGATACATCTACGTAAGTAATGATATTTACTTAATCAACAGACTGTTCACTTTCTTTGTGCCTTTCCACACAGTCTTCCATTGTCAGGAGCTTTTGTTGTCTGCACTATCAGTATTTTGGAGATGTGGGAGGGATGCGAGGAACCAGGGCCAGGGAGACATCACCAGAATCTAGAGCTATTGCCAGCAGGAACTCTGGCGGTCTGTGTTGGGAGGGTCCTGCTCAAACCAACAGGAGACCAGCCTGTGACTGTTCGTATCTATAGGCACAGACTCCCAGCAACTTAGAGCCTTGAACTCCCAGAAAGCCTGGAGCCCTTCAGGACACTGAGGACTAAATTCCATGTATGTCCTTAATTATGCCAATAGAACCTTTTGGTTATTAATATGATTGGGGCCGGGTGATGAGACACTCAGCATCTTGCAGTGAAGACAGAACTTGGCTCTAATTGCATTTCCACCACTGAACTTCTGGGTGGCCTTGGGAAAATCACCTTCCCTTTCCCTGAGTTTGTTTCCATGTGATTGTAACTAGGGAAATAATCGTTGCCCTAGTTAAACAGCTGAAGAATGATACAAGGTATTAAAAAGCTAGGTTAAGGTACTATGGAAACTGAAGGAGAGAAAAGTTCACTGTGAACTGTGTTTAGCTGGGGAAGGCTTCGTGGAGGAGTTGGTAGGTATTGTGTTGGACATTGCAAGTTCTAGGTTGGTTAAGAGAACAGGGCCACAGATGTGAATGAGTACTTGTGGTGAAGGAAGAGGGCATGGAGGATTGTTGAGCGGGGGGAAAGACGTATTCTTGTGTCTACCGGTGAACAGAAGCAGCCTAGGAGGCACATAAGTGGAGATGAACTGGTCTCTATGCTGGGCACATGGTAGTGAGGGGCAGCACAGGGGTCAAACACATAGACGCTGGAGCCAGACTGACTGGCTTCAAAGCCCAGTCTTCCCATTGCTTGACCTTCCTGTGCCTCAGTTTTCCCATCTGTAAAATGGGAATAATAACACCTACTTTTTGGGTTATGAGGATTCAATGAGCTAGTCTATGGGAAGTACTTAGAAGACTGTCCGGCACTGATCAAACACTCTGCAAATGGTGTCTTTTCTAATCATTAAGTAGTCAAAAACTGTTCAAGGAATATATGTCCACTAAAGCAGGTGGACTTCTGTTGAGATGATCCGCTCTCATGATTTACACCCTGGCTCCCTGCTAAGTCTGGAGCCCCCTCCTGCACGCCAAGCTTGGATAGATCCTTGACCTCAGTGTTACCTATGCCCAGCCTCTTCTCCTTGGGGAGTAGCTCTCACACCCCAGAGGAAGGAAATAGAACAGTGAAAAAATGGTCCAAAAAAGTTGTATCTTGGAACCAGAAGAATGGTGTTGCTCTCAACACAAATGGAAAAACTGTTCTTGTTCTTGTTACCAGCATTTATTGAGCATTTTTGTGCCAGACTTGCCAAGTCATTTTGTGGAGCATTTCATTTAATTATCACAATGACCATAGGTTGATAAAACTTCCTCCATTTCACATTTAAGGAGATTAACTAGGAGAGGGAGGCGAAGGAGCTCTCCTAAGGTCATAGCTGGGAGTGGTGGAGCCTCAATTTGGTTGTGGGCAGTCTTGCTACAGAGTTTTAGTGAAAGACAGTAAGTTTTGCTTTAGGCATGTTAAATTTGAGGTTGTTCTCGATAAGGCCGAACACATTTGTAGGCCACAGTGCTCATGATGGTAGATGGGAAAAGAGAGGAGTCAGGCTCAGAGATGGACAAATGAGAGGGGCAGGTGCTGGCCTCCAGAAGACCTCAGAGAGGCCCTCTTTCCACAGCCGGCTGGCAGTCACTCCTCCCTGGCCTCTTAAGCTATGCTTCTGGTGCTGCTCCAGGAGAATACCCTTGACCCATGATTAGCTACAAGTGGCTGAATGAGGATCCAACATCCCTCTTGTTGGGCAATAGCAAACCAGTGCAGTATGAGGGCCATGAACAAGGATTCTTGGAACAGCCTGCCTGATTGCAAATCTCAAGCCTGCCGTCTCCTAGCTGTGTGAACTTGGGCAAGTTGCTCAACCACTCTATGCCTCAGTTTTCCCGTCTTCAGAGTGCAAATAACAGTACACCACTTCACAGCATTCTTATGAGGATTAAATGAATGCCTTCACAAAATATTTAGGGAAATTGCTGGCATATGGTAAATGCCTCGTTAATGAAATGTTAGCATCCTCCTCCTCATTATTATCGTTACTCCTCCTCACCACTCCCTACGTCACCAGAAGTCTCAATAGCTGTGTCCCAAAGCAGGGAGGCTTGGCCTCTCGCATAATTTGGAGTTTACCCTCAGAAAGTACAAATGAGTCACAAGAAATGGTGACCTAGACTCACCATCCTCCAGAATGTCAAGGCTATCAAAGGAGGGGCCAGGTTCTGACACAGAGATTTTCATGTCTGGAAGGCTGCAGGAGTAACTCTTGTGAGTGATTTCAGTTGGAGAGTAGGATCTTCTTGGAGGGATGGTAGATGATGTTGGGTAGTTTCTGGGGAGAAGCAATCAGTTCTTAAGAACAGCTTCATGAGTTGTGAAACTGTGGCCATCTTAGTACCAACACAGGGTTGTACGCAGCTGTGGGGTGTGGTGCAAGGAGTGCATATGACTAGGACAGTACACCAAACGCTTGAGCCTACCTAAGTTGAGGTGCTAAGCAATCTGCCCTTTCTAGGGTTAGGAACAGGATGGAATTCTTCCTTGATTGACAACCCTGCTTGAATCCCATGGAATGTGGGAAGAGCAGGTCCCATGAAGACAGAGTTGAGAGCTCACCCAAACAGCAATAGATGTGCATGGCAATATGACAGAAAGCCTGGGACTGGAAATCAGGAGACTGAATGAAGTTCTTATTTCACCTTTTACAGCTATATGATCTCAGATAAATCATTTAAACTTGCTGCATCTCTGTTATATCTAAAATAGGAATAAAACATTTCTAAATAGTGATGATATTAATGTTAGTTGTAACAATCAGGAGATCAAATCGCATGTGGTGGTGCAGTGCCTGTAGTCTCAGCTACTGGGGAGGCTGAGGTGAGAGGATCACTCAAGCCCAGGAATGCAAGTGCAGCCTGGGCAGCATAGTGAGACCCCATTTGAAAAAAAAAAAAAAAAAAGATCAGGTATGTGAATGTGCCTTGGAGCCTCTAGGCAAATTCAAAGGAGCATGGTCATTTTCATCAGTAAAGGCTGTAAACCATAAATGCTGAGGAGGAGAACTCCCACATGGAGACAACCCACATGTCTGTCAATTGATGAATGAAAAAACAAAATATGGAATATAATATAATTCAGCCATAAAAAGCAATGAAGTACTGATCCAGGCTACAATATGGGTGACCCCTGGAAGTTTATGCTAAGTGAAAGAAGTCAGTCACTAAAGACCGCATACTATAATGATTCCGTTCATAGGAAATGTCCAGAATAGGCAAATCCATAAAGACAAGTAGAGTAGTGGTTGCCAGGGATTGAGGGGATAAGGGAATAGGTGAGTGACTGCTAATGGGTACAGGGTTTTGTTTTGAGGTGATGAAAATATTCTAAAATTAGATTGTGGTGATGCTTGCATGACTGTGAATATACTAAAAACTACTGAATTGTACAGTTTAAATGGCTGGACTATATGCTGTGTGAATGATACTCAATAAAGCTGTTTTTTAAAATGAGAGCACTGGAGCCAGACTGCCTGGCTTCCAATCTCAGCTACCTGTTAGCTGTGCAACCCAGGGTAAATTACACAACCTCTCTGTGCTTCATTTTCCCCATCTGTGAAAAGGAGGTAATAAGATAGATACAATCCTTATGTTTTGAGATGAGAAAAGCAAACACATGCAAAGCACTGTCAACAGTACCCAGTGTACACAATTCGCTGTATAAGTGTAAGAAATTGACAAGGCTTACAGGAACCAAGGAGTAGCAGCAGCTGTTAAAGGCAAGCTGGATGTCTAGGGAGTTGGTGGACAGGGCAGTTCAGTCACAGAACCAGCATCTGGGACCCAGGAGTGTAAACCGCACGCTGCAATGTAGACTGACTGTGTGCTCCTTACCTCCCCGAGGGCTCCCCTGGGGTGATGAGAATACCAGAAATCTGGGCTCTGGCCTCAAGTCATGGGTTCCGCAGGTCTGCTACAGGGCCCCAATATGCATGCTTTTTCCAAGCTCCCCTAGTGATTAATGATAAGCTGAGTTTAAGAGCACCTGGTGGGAACCTCAGGGAAGTAACCCTGACCCATGACCCAGAGGAATGGCAGGTTGGACCAATGGCAAACTGATGATAACAGCAGGAGGTTCCCAGGCCAGTTGAGGAAGGAGGTAGGGGCAGGGAATACGGAAAAAATAGGCAGATCCAGACATGGGACCCCAAAGACGCCTTAGAAGTCCTCTGCGGTTACCAGTGGAAAGCATGCAAGAAGCAGACTTGTCCCCGCTTTAGGGAAGTGACAGCTTTGGAAAAGAGTCAAATGACAAACTAGAAAACAGAGCAGCAGAGGCATGCCTCCTGAATGCCAATGGTTGGCTCTGAATTATCCAAGAGGAAACATTCACATGGTAGGGCTGGACAGTTAGACTTGTATTTTTATTAAAGGGTATATGAGTTTTTAATTAAATAAGTGTCCTCTTAGATTATCTTCTGAAAAAATCAGACTCATAGGAAAGCAGAATCACTAGACACAAGTTCATCAGGGCATGGCTTTTAAGGAGATCAATATCCAAACTACTCCACCCAAAGAATTTAGATACTGTAGGCACACCTAACACCTGATGTCGTGTGAGGGGTGGAGGCAAGAAGAAGCAGCCTTCTATTTGCAACACATTGAGTATAATGCTTATGTGAACTGTATGGAGTGGAGAAGGTCCAAAGGCTACACAGGCATCTTAGCACAGAAGGCCCTGGGATATCTCAAACAGGACTTCTGGATCTTACAAGAGGGAAGATTAAACCAGAATGGAGGAATTAATCACCTATCTGGAATCCCATCCACCCTCATTTTCAGGATCACCTCTTTGCAGACAACACCCATGTTGGTAAGTTGTTGCTTACCTCAAAGTAGGTGTGTGACAGCCGAATCACCCTGAAGGCTTCAGTGAGGGGATTTGAGTTGATTATCTGGGGAAATCCTGGGATCACAGGTGACAGTGATGCTGATAACTTCACAGAAAACTTGTGCACTGAAGTCCCAGGTGGAGAATTCTCTGCCACGTTGCCTATAGCAGGTAAGAGGATTAGGTGTAGTGCTTCTCCCCCTGTGGAGTAAAAAAGGTGCAGGATGACATGAACGCAAAGCCTTTTGCTGGGAACAGGGACTTAACAGCTTGGTTTGTGGCTTCAATTCATAGCTCGGGGTGACGATGGGAGCTGGTCACTCCCCAAGAACAAATGCTCTTGCCAAGTGCTGGCAATGGATATGTGAGATCTTCTGGGAGCCAAGAAAACAACCACCACCAAACAACCAAGAAATCTGCTTCTGTCACTCAGTAAATAAAGCTGCTGCTTTTCTCTTGTCTCCCTGCTTCCCTTCTCTTTCCTCCTAGCCTTTGGGAAGAGCAGGGAAAGAGAACTGTGACACCTTAGGAGACAGACGTTGCCTGAAAATGTCATCTGTCTTGCCAGGGCCCTGTAGCTTACAGAGTTTGTTTTCCTTCTCCGTGTCAGTGATCTAGAGGTCATCTGAGAATTTAGTGTGCATGACTGGAGAACACCAAAATCATGGTAAATCTCTCCACATCCATCAGTAATCTCAAGGACAATTTTTGGTTATTATTGGACTCTGCAGGCATCATGCGGAGGGCCAAGCAGTACTTCTTGGTTGGTAAATTAACAATCATTCCACAGAGGAGAAAACAAGAGGCTCAGGGACCAGGGACGGCATGTGAATTGCCTTGGGCTGCCTTACAGGCAGGGAATTTTGCAATTTAAGAGAAAGCACATTTCTTCCAGGAAAGCCTTGGTACCATTCTAAGGTGCATGACACTGCAAGACTTTGCCAGCGCAGATAAAAGGAACAAGCTGTGTTCTCACATACTTCCATAATGATAGTTTAGGGTTGAACAGTGTCCCTAAAAGATTCATGTCCACCCAGAACTGAAGAATGACCTTATTTGTCTTTGTTTTTGGTTTTTTGAGACAGTCTCACTCTGCCACCCAGGCTGGCAGATCTCGGCTCACTGCAACCTTGCCTCCTGGGTTCAAGCGATTCTTGTGCCTCAGCCTCCCAAGCAGCTGTGATTACAGGTGTGCTCCACCATGCCTGGCTAATTTGTGTATTTTTGAGAGAGATAGGGTTTCACCATGTTAGCCAGGCTGGTCTTGAACTCTTGGCCTCAAGTGATCCACCCGCCTCAGCTTCCAAAAGTGCTGGGATTACAGGTGTGAGCCACCATACCCAGCCAAGAATGATCTTATTTGGAAATAGAGTCTTTGTGGGTGTAATTGGTTGAGAGGCAGCCATACTGGAGGAGGGTGGTCCTAAATCCAGTGGCCAGTGTCCTCATAAGAAGACAGAACATGCACAGAAGGGAAAAGGCCATGATATAATGGAGGCAGAGACTGGAGTGATGCAGCTACAAGCCCGGGAATGGAAAGCAAACGCAGAAGCTAGGAGGTAGGCATGGAGCAGATATTCCCTCAGAGCCCCCAGCAGGAACCAACCCTGCCAACAGCTTGATTGTAGACTTTTGGTCTCCTGAGCTGTGAGAGAATAAATTTCTGTTGTTTTCAAGGCACCCATTTTGTGGTGGTTTGTTACAGCAGCCCTAGGAAATGAATACAATGATCATTTATCCAATGTTACAAATAAGTGCAAAATATAAAATCCTGTATTTCATTTACTCCTCAAACACTCCTCTCAGACAGGTATTAATGTCATCATTTTACAGATGGGGAAACTGAGCTGAAATTCACACAGCAAATAATAACAGAGCCAAGATTTACACAGGTCCCCCTTCCCAGCCAGCTCCCAATCTTGGCTGCCATCAGACCCTGAGAAGAAAACCCTGAACAAGTAGGAGGCACAGGGTGGGTAGGGACAGTAGAAGATTCTGTTCTGCTGAAAGGTATAAATGTTCTAGGAACAAACAAACCAGGATGTTTTATTTCCGTTGGTGCGTGGTGGGGTGAATGCAGAGGAGTAAATGGAAAAGAGGAAAAAATTGAAATATAAGCACATTCACTAATACAAGCTTTTATAAATCTAAAGTCATCTTATTTAGTTTAGAGGCTAAAATGCATAATGCATAAGTTATTGTCACTCGCAGAATTATCAAGTTTTATGGACAAGGACTGTGCAAGGACTCAGAAATATCAAAACAGCTGAAGTTTAGGGTGATGCGAATATGAATAGATTTTTTTAAATCTTTTACAATTGGCTTTCATATTATAGCATTCTTATGATAAAAACCAGGAAGGAAAGAGTATGATTGAAGTATTTGAGACAAAACTTCCAAAAATAGTTTTTTCAAAATGAGCAAAATAATCTATTGCTTTAATGGGTTGGGTATTTGGGGCATAATTCCCTCCCATTCTCTTTTCTCACGCGTGAAAGTCACCAGGGCACCTCTCTGAGCTGTTCATGAGAGTGTTCCCTCACTGTTCAGCAAGACAAGCACAGCAGTACAGGAAATGGAAGGTTGGCAGTCTGTCTCATGGGATGCCCACCTTCTCACCCATATTCTTCCCTTGCCCCTTCCAACCCTCCCCAGTGACTCGTGCCCCTCCAGGCAACAAGCAAAGTTAGAACTTGCTGTATTTTTCTCAATAATAGCCTAGGGTAAGGTAGTGCCTAGCCCAAATGAATAGACCACTTCATTTACCAAGCATCTGCTCAGCTGGCATTATGCTAGGAGATCCTTGACTGCCTGATCCCCTTAATCCTAGCACAATCCTCCAACATAGGTATTGCTGTCACCATTGTGCACATCTGAGACTATATGCTCAGGAAGCAGTCATGGAGGGCCCTGGTTCATGGCATCTGGATCTTGTAGCTGACACACTACACATACCTTCTACAGACAGTCACTCCATGCCTGTCACATGACCATGCACATAGGATGCATCGTAGTTATTCAGTGACCTGGGACACTGCAACAACATGGCTGTGGGAGCTGGTAAAAAATTGACCTTCAATTTAGATGTTAGATCTGGATGATGTGATTTGTAAGAGGCTGTTTTTGGAACAACACGAAGAATTGAGCTGCAGTGTGAGCGTGGTGTGAGCTTGGGTAGGAGGGACTTGCTAAGCTCCACTCAGGGCTCTCCACAGCCTCACCCCAAGTGGGGAGTTCACGGTGGCTCCCAACCTTAGTGTAGCTCTTTTGGGGACCTGGGCTGTAGAGAAGCCATACTCCCCAAATATTGCCTGGTGATAGTTCCTGGTTTGCTTTGCTAGAAGTATATCCACTGATTTTCTTGAATTGATCATAACTTTGATAATTCCTGGATCTGAGAGACTAATTCTGTGAAAGATCCAGCATTCCAATCCCAGGCTTCTGAATCCAAGGACAGCTCCATGATGTCTCCTTAAATCAGAAAGCTTTTCGTCTTCCTCCTTGAATGGTCATATTTTGAATGGCAGTGAGGGAGATATTTTTGAGAAGTTGATATAGCCAGTGACTCTCTAGCAATTTTTTATTGGGAACTGCCTGTCCCATGTATGGCAAAAGCCAGACTGTCCTTGGATATGCCCTTTCTGCCAATATTCTTGCTAGAAATGGTCTTTTTCTCAGGGTGGCCTGTCTTCCCAGGGCAAGGCCATGTGTGCCAGGGTCATGCAAATGAATCCTTAAAACTTTGAGGCAGACGTCCTAGTGATGCTGATTTTTTTTTTTTTTTTTCCTTTTAAACGGAGTCTGACTCTGTCACCCAGGCTGGAGTGCAGTGACGCAATCTCGGCTCATGGCAACCTCCACCTCCCGGGTTCATGTCATTCTCCTGCCTCAGCCTCCTGAGCAGCTGGGACCACAAGCACCTGCCACCATGCCTGGCTAATTTTTTGTATTTTTAGTAGAGACAGGGTTTCACCGTGTTAGCCGGGATGGTCTTGATCTCCTGCCTCGTGATCCTCCTGCCTTGGCCTCCCAAAGTGCGAGGGATACTGATTTTTTTAAAAAGATAGTGAAGCTGGGTTCTCCTGACCTTAATTCAAAACCCAGTTTCTCCAGCTCTATTGCTATTTGTAAAAGAAGTATTAGTAGTACTAATAGCAATAACAAGAATAATAAGTGACTAGGGTCCATACCCTAAAAATAGAGTAATTAATAAGATACAATATTCACAAAATGTTAAGGCCATCTGTTATACAGGTAAGCTTAAGCAGTGTATCCAAAGGCACCCATCTGGTCAATGGCAGAGGGAAGATTAGAGGCCAGGTGCCGGCTCTCCCTAAAACACTGCATGCTTTCCTTCCGTTGCTGGTCTTCCAGGCTTTCTTTGGTGGTCTGAATGTTAGAGAGCAAGAAGCAGGCTCTAATGGAATTGACTTACACATGCATCTTAATTAAGAATCGAACTAGAATTGCTTGAAGCATGTCCTTTGGAAAAGAAAGAGCAAGCGAAAGATTTATTGTCAGCCACGGGGCCCTCTGAAACATCTTGCTTGTGGCTGAGATCTGGATGCATGATGTGCTCATTTGTCTCCCTTGAATCACTGCCTCTCCAGAAATGGACCAATGGGGGCTTCCTGGGAGCTTATGTTGGGATAATTAAGGCTTCCACAGTCTCAGAGAGGAGGAAGTTGGCCACCCTAGATCTCTGACACCGAAAGTGGAGATGTGGGTGAAGAATGTGGGGTGATGCCACCTTCTTGGGGTGTAACTGCTCTAACATAGAGCTCTGCTTTCAATACACAGAGCAGGACTCACTGAGACCATCACTCAACAGCTACCTCTTCATTCTCTCTAGTACCTAATCAAATGGCAGTGAACAAGATCAGTTCTGTGAAAAGAACAAGAGATTTGGAAACCCTGGCTTCAAGCCTTAGCTTTGCCACTACTTGACTGTGTGACCTTAGGCTGGTCCCTTGACTTCTCTGGGCTGTGGTGCTACATTAACAGTAGCCACTAAACAAGGTCCCATTGCTAAAGAAGACTCATGGGACCCAAATGACAATGCTTACAAATCTACAGTGTTATTACACAAAATGGATACAGCATAGCAACAACTTGAAAGTAAGGATACGCACTACAGCTGGAGGCTGCCTCGGCAAGAGATCCACAGAGGCCAGGTGCAGGCTAGGCTCTTACTGTTGTCTTTTCTCTATGGGACGGAAGATCGCATTTTCTTGGATCACGAACCACCAATGTATGCACAA